CACACCACCACCACCACCACCACCACCACCACCACCACCACCACACACACCACCACCACCACCACCACTACCACCACCACCGCCACCACCGCCACCACCACCACCACCGCCACCACCGCCACCACCACCACCACCACCACCACCACCACCACCGCCACCACCGCCACCACCACCACCACCACCACCACCACCACCACCACCGCCACCGCCGCCACCACCACCACCACCACCACCACCGCCACCACCGCCACCACCACCACCACCGCCACCGCCGCCACCACCACCACCACCACCACCACCGCCACCACCACCACCCGAATACGCACTTCTGAGTCAACTAAGGAGAAGAGCTCTCTCTCCCCGAGGCGCGAGCTCACTTTTCATAACTGGCCCGAGTCAACTACGGGCAAGAGCTCTCTTCCGCTTTGTCGCACGCTCAGGGCCCACCCAATTAAGTAATTCTGAGTCAACTTGAGAAGCCCCCCCCCCCCCCCCCCAGTGAGTATTGGACACACACACACGATTGATTGATGGGGAGGCGAAACACAGTCCGACCCCCCCCCCCCTCTCCTCCCCTCCCCCACACCCCAAAGAAGTCGTTCTGCGTCAACATCAGAAGAGAGCTCTGTCGCACGCTCATCAGGACCTTTCTCTCTCCGACGCCTCCGCGCGGCGAGACACGCTCGCGGCGTTCGCGCGGACCACCGGCATGGGTTGTTTCGCGCGGACCACCGGCGGCTCTCGCGCGGACCCCGGCCGCAGTGGCAGGGCGGCCGCCAGCAGCCTCTCGGCCGTCGCGGCTCTCGGCCCGCTGCCGTGGGCTGCACCGCCGCCGTCGATGGCGCCGCCGCCGCTGCGCGCCGCGTCTGGCGACGCGCTCTGCGCGCCCCCCACGCTCCCGCCCTCCCTCGGGATCGGCTCCGGAGGCGGTGGCGGCGGGAGAAGCGGCTATCCCGGCAGCTATGGCGGCGGCAGCTATGGCGGCGGCAGCTATGGCGGGAGCGGCTATGGCGGGAGCGGCTCTGGCGGCGGCGGGATCGGCCCTGGCTTTGGCCCCGGCAGCAGCAGCGGCAGCTTCGGCGCCTGCCCGGCGCTATTCCCGCCCCCGCCCGCGCCTCCGCAGCCGCCGCTCCCCCTTCTTCCCTTTGAGGCGTGGCTCTCTACGGGCGGCGGCGCCGGCGTCGGCGCCGGCGTCGGGGGCGGCGTCGGGGGCGGCGTCGGGGGCGACTGCGGCTACGGTGGCGGCGGCACGGGCGGCGGCAAGGGCGGTTGCGGCGGCGGTGGCGCGTCCTACAGCGGCGCAGGCAGCGGAGGCCCTGGCGGCTATGGCGGGGGCTCCGGCGGGGGGCGAGGCTGCGGCAGCCGTGGTGGCGACGCGGGGCTCGGCGGCGGCGGAGGCTGCGGTGGCAACGGGTGGGAGGTGCGTCCGTGGGAAGGGAGAGTCTCGACGGGGGAGGATGGTTGCTCCACGTGCACTTCTAGGCTTGCACATTGAATGCCGCGCCGGTTCCCGCCTGTCCGGGAATCGGAGATGCGGGCGCTGCCTGGCCCATGCCCTACTACCACCTCGTGTGTGTGTGGAGAAGTTGACTTCGCCTCACCGTACCTCACCGTAGTGTCTAGAAGGGGGATGGTTGCTCCACGTGCACCGGGCCTTCACACATTGAATGCCGTGTCGGTTCCCGCCTGTCTGGGCCGTGTGTGTGAAGAAGCTGGCCTCACCTCGCCTCACCGTAGGTGCGCGCTGGCGATTGGACGTGCCCCGGGTGCGGACTCAACGTCTTCGGATGGAAGCACGCTTGCTTCAAGTGCAGCACGCCCAAGCCTGGCGGCGGCGGCGGCGGCGCAGCAGTCAGACGCGGAGGCGGCGGCGGCGGCGGAGGCGGCAGCTGCGGCGGTGGCGGTGGCAGCTTGGGAGGATGGGGCGCCAGCAGCCGTGTCGGCGGAGGAGGTGACGGTCACGGTGGCGGAGGAGGAGGCGGCTGGGGTGGCGGAGGAGGAGGCGGCTGGGGTGGCGGCGGAGGAGGCGGCTGCGGAGGCGGTGGAGGAGCCGGCTGGGGAGGCGGTGGAGGCGGAGGCTGCGATGGCGGCGGGCGCAGCGCGAGTGGGCGCGGCTGGGGAGGCGCAGGTGCTGCATGGCACGTGCGTGGTTGGGGCGGGAGCGGTGGCGGCGATGGAGGTGGTGGCGGCGGCGGCGGTGGCGACAGCGGCGGCGGCGGCGACGACGACGGAGGCGGAGGCGGCGGCGGAGGAGGAGGCGGCGGCGATGGCGGCGGAGGAGGAGGAGGCGGCGGAGGGAGCGGTAGCAGCGGGCATGGCAGCTGGAGCAGAGGCCGTCCGCCAGGTTGTTGCGCGTCTGCACACTGCGCGCCTGCCGCGGCCGGAACCGGATCGGCGAGAGACGTCGCCGCCCCCGCCGCCGCTCCCGCTGGCGCGGCGTCCGACGGAGCCTATTCTCCCGGCCGCGAGGGCTCAGAGTACTCTCCCGGCGGCGAGGGCTCAGAGGGCGCCTACTCTCCCGGCGCCGAGGAGCTGGAGGGGGAGCTGGAGGCTTCGGCCGCTCCCCCTGCGACGTGCCCGGCGGCCGGCGCTGTCGCTGCGTCGTTGGCGGCGGAGGAGGCCGCTGCCGCACCTGCCGCTTCTGCCGCTGCTCACGCCGATCTGGAGGGCGCCTACTCGCCAGGAGCCGAGTCGGAGGGCGCGTACAGCCCGGGTGCCGAGGAGGAGGAGGCGGGGGAGGCTTTGGCCGCTCCCGCCGGCACGGAGGGGCTTGGCGCTGCCGCGGGTGACATCGCTGAGTCGCCCGCCGCCGAGTCGGACGGAGCGTACTCGCCGGGCGCAGACTAGTTGGGGAGTGCGATGCCCCCCATGCGCGTTTGCGAGGGGGGGGCCACTAGATTGCCACATACACTAGAAGGCCACACTGGGAGGAGGCCGCGACACGTAGAACGGTCTTCCGTTGCGGGCGGCGCGCGGCGGAGAACACGTGAGAACTGCAGCAGCCGAGAATGGGTAATAGTACGTCAGTAGACAATACGTCGCGCGCAATGCGGAGTGCGCGCGAATTACGAGCGATCCCGCCTGCCAACGCATACAGCCATGGTGTGTGGTGAGGTACGGTTGTGTACTAGTTCGGTTCTTGCCGGGCAGAGTTACTTTGTGCTTTGTGCCGAATGTGTGGCGAGAAAGATTCCACAAATTGCGCTGAGTTAGTGTTTCTGTATTTTTGGAAGAAAAAAGTTTCCAATTCAAAAGTCCTGTGCGTGCGCAGTGGCTACGTCGACTTTTACGTGTGCACGTGTGAGAAGTTTACCCTACCTCTTACCTTAGAGTACGTACAAATACCCCGTGACCGGCGTCAACGGCCCTAGCCTACGGTACGTACGGCGATCGCATGAGCAACTCGCAAAAACTCGGCCACGGCCACCTCGCCGTCACCATTGGTGTCGGTGGCAGCAAATGCCTCGGCGAAGCTCCGTTGCGCATCTATGTCCATGTCCGTGAACATATCCAGCTCGAGCAGTACCTTGTACAACTCGGAAGCCCAAGGGACAACACACAGCCATTTACATTCGAGCCGTAAAACGCATCCAAACAGATCGCGAGCTCGACCATCCTCCGCCATAGGCGCATCTAGGCGCTTGAGGATAGTTGCGTCCTGGCTGTACACGAGGTGGGTGGCCTCCAATGCACGCCCGCGACGCCTCTTGCCGGCGCGCAACGCTGCGGCCGCTCGCCACAGACTCCGCTCGCCCGCGCTTCGCCCGCAGGTGTACGAGCGCATCTCCTGCTTCGACGCGCCGGGCGGCGGCAAGCGCGGCACGCTGCACATCCTCTCCCGCGGCGGCGTGCACGACGACGCCTTCCTGCTTGCATTTTCAATGCCGTAGCGCCCCTCCGGACGTGGAGACGCCTACTCACCTTCCCTCAGGCACCGAGCACCTGCTGTAACTGCCCCGGGACTTGACCGCTGCCAGCTCCTCTCCCCTGCCAGTCCTGCCGGCCGTTGCCAGCCCCTCTCCCCTGCCAGTCCTGCCGGCCGCTGCCAGCCCCTCTCCCGTGTGCATCAGTGAGGGGCGGCCTGCCCACCGCACCCGCCCCAGCCCCCCCAACCCTGCCTGCTCAGCATCACCGCCTCACCTCCAGCGGAGCCGCCGCCTCACCACTGCGATCCCAGCCGCCGCCATCCCCGCCCCCGCCGCCCCCGCCACCGCTTGCACCCACCCCCTCGGCGCGCCTCCGCCACCGTGGCCTCCCGCCGCGCCTTGCGCGCCACTGGTGCCGGTGCCGTCGCATGGTCAAGATCGGCGAAACTCGTGTGACGTGTCTTCAGCATGCTCAGCTCGAGGTCCGCGTCGATGGGGAGACGTTTGCTGCCAGAAAGATGCAGGTAGGCGCGGGGCGAGGGCGGCGGCGGCGCGGGCGGCGGGGGGGGCGGCGGCGGCGGCGAGGGTGGCGGCAGTGAGGCGGCGGGCGGCGAGGGCGTGGCGGCGTGCACTGTCTGGGGCCCGACTTGCGACGGCATCGACTGCGTCATCTCGCCGACGCGCACCTCCCGGGCTCGAGGTTGGGGACTGGCTCTACTTTCCCGACATGGGGGCGTACACGTCGTGCGCCGGCTCCAACTTCAACGGGATGGAGCTGCCCGACGTCGCCTACCTGCAGGGCCACGCGCCTTCGCGGCCGCAGCCGCCCGAGACTGCCGCGGCGGACATGCTGCGCAAGCTGGCCGCCGAGGGCGTCGCGCCCTGAGCGAGCGCTCGTGGGCAGGGGAGGGGGGGGGGGGGGGTGCACAGGTGCGACAGGCGAGCTTCTGCTCAGCTGGAGCTGTTTTACTACCCAGACACGTCGAGACATTCTGTGCTCTTCTAATCCCTTTTTCGTTATGCTCGACAGCGTTGGGAAAGAAAGAAAGAAAGAAAACAGATCACACAGGGATTTTAAAGGAGTTGTGGCTCCGCTAGCCGTCGCCCACTCGGCCCACCCTTGCTTGCTTGGGGTTGGGCGTCTGCCTAATCCTACATGTCAACATGTGCATGCATCTCTCTTCGCAGTCCCTCGCGATGATTCTTCGTCCCCGCCTTTCCTGCGACCAGCGGTTTCTTCAAAAAACGCAATGCCGAACGCTACTTGTCGCCAACACGAAAAACGCCGAGATCCAGTTTCGTGCGTGTTGCCACCGAAACTTTGCCAGATGAGATTGCAGGTGCCTTTTGCCAGAAGAGATTGCAGCGGATTGCAGGTGCCTTTTGCCCTGCCTCTCGCCTCTCGCCTCGCCCCTCGCCCCGCGCGACGCAGCGCGAGATGAGAGCTGCCCCCGCGCGTGTCCTCTCGCCTCGCCACACAACCACCACTGCAGCGAGCCCGTGCCCGGCTGCACGCCGTGCTGCGACCGCCGCCGCGCGAGCCGCCGAGGATCGAGCGCCGCGAATCTGGCACAATCGGATTGCCGGTCGGAGCGCTGCTGAGCGCGCGTCCGCGGGTCGCCTTCATACCTACTGCGCCCCCGCAACCCCCAAAACAAGCCCGCGCCGTGCTCATCCCATTTTATGCTTCTGACGCTCGCGCGCCGCCGCTGCGCCCTCGCAGATCCAAAACAACGTGGGCGAGACGGGCGTGCCGCGGTTTCCTTGGTGCTGGGCCTCAAGCTGCGTGCGCTGCGAGTAGGTGCGGCCCTCTTGAGCCCCCCCTTCCTCTCGATTCCCCCCCTCAAAGACGCTCTCAAAGCAGAGAGAAGCAGCACCTGGTGGCCCGGAACACGATGTGCAGCAATTAGAGCAGGAAATTAGCGGAGATTGGCCGAGATTCAGCCGAGAATTCGTTAATTAACATAATTGACGGAACTTTGACGAAATTCGTGGAAATGCTCTGGGGCATCATTGCGCCCCACGAGTTGACTAAATTGACGAGATCACCCCGAGATTTCGTCAATTAGCATAATTAATTGCCCGTGCCGTCGTTGGCCGCCTTCTCGTGGCTCGCGGACGGTGCGCTGCCAATTCTCGTTGCTACTATCGTGGTCATCCAGGGCCTTGCCATTCTTGCTCTCGCCGTGGACCGCAAGGCCACACGTGCTCCGCCGGCCGGCCCAGTCTCGGCGCCGCCCTCGCCACCGGAGCCTGACGCCGGCGGGACGTCCTATTCTGTCAGCACGAATATCGACCTCGGCGACATCGCATCCACACTCGGAGGCGCGGAAGGGTCGATTCAAACGCGGCTGGAAGCGTTGGACGAGAACAAGGACAACAAGATTAACTCTGCGGAGCTGATCCAGCTCATGAACCAGCTGAGGATGGAGGAAAAGGAGAAGGAGAAGGCCAGGAAGCGCGGTGATTGGTACAAGAAGGCGCTCGTCTTGTCGCTGCTCTTCACTGTGGTGCTCTTTGGCTCAACCTTCGCCTCCTCGCTGACCGCGGTCTTCGTCGCAAAGGACACCCGTGTCGGAGCCGACAATACGCTCGTCTCGTCGGACACGGGCGAGGTGCTCAAGACGGGCAGCGCCCTTTTCGACACCATGCCCTACGTCGCACCTCCGTATCGTGCGGAACGGGATGCCAAACCATGCCGTGTGCGAAGCGGAATGCCGCCAACTTCCCTTGTGCATTGGCATCGGACACCATACCACTTGGGGTGGCGGCCAATGCATTCTTTACACGGCAAGCACTCAAGATGCGGAAGCGGTGTTCGCGGCAAAAGGTGGCAGTCCGTGGCTGGTTAGCACCTCCAAACCTGGCAACAAACCTTTCTGCACTAGCTCTTGCGCCATCGGCCAAGCCTATGGAGACGCCAACACCAATTGCTACCGCAGAATGGCGGGAGAAACGGTCTCATATGTGGACCGCCACTACGACATCGAGCGTACGTACGAGTTTGGCCACAGCCACAGTGCCAACGCTTTGGTCGAATACATCAACGGCGGCGGCAGCTTCTCGATCGACTCCGACCTGCAGCTGGAGATGAATCTGGACGACTCGTACCACGACTCTTTCGTCAAGTACGTCAAAATCAATCGCGATTCGACCGACGGGCCCACTACGATCCAGGCGTCCGACAGAGCCACGTGGTTTGCCGTGGATCAACGTACAGAACAGCCACAGTTTCCTCTCAGGATGATGAGCACGTGTACTAGTAGCTCGGATGCCGGCTGCCAGTGGATCTTCGAGCCAAGTGAGACTCGGGTTGGGGCGTTCTACATCAAGGTGGCCGGCGGAACGCAGGCACACCGTTACATTTCCGGGTGGGGCGGAAACCATGCCGGACATGCTGTCGCTTTGCACCCTTGCCCCAAAGAAAACAATCACCCCAACTGCCAATGGATTCTCGAGTCAAGTAGCACGCGGCCAGGGATGTACTACATCAGGTCGTCCGACAAGGCCTTGTACATTCACGCGAGCGGCGGCACCTCTGCCGGAAAGTATCTCACGATGCACTCTTGCCCCAAAGAAAACAATCACGCCAACTGCCAATGGAAGCTCAAGGTTCCCCGCGCGTCGATGGCGACACTAAAGACGTTCTACTTCGACGAAACTCAGAAATGCGACTGGCTAAAGCTTGAGCTCACGCCGGGCAACAAACTCAAGTGCACCATGTCCAGTAGTTGCTCCCAGTCTAAGTGCCAGGGACTCTCGGCGGAAGGCGACGAAGCGATTGTAACCCAGCTGCGCTTCCGTCCGCGTCAAGGGTCGGCACCAAGTGCAGCTTCTCCGTTTGGTTTCTCGGGTTGGCAGCGCAACAGGTTCACCTTCTCCGCTTCAAAATACTCCGTCATGGCGCACGCTGGGCCAAACGACTGCTTTGCAGAATTTCGTACCGGGATCGAGCCTGACGACCCTCTCGAACACGACAAATTGCCTCTGGAGCACGACCACTGGCAGCACTGCGAGTTCAACGACAACTCGCAATTCGTAGCAAATTGGCTCAATCCTTGGGTGGGTGGATGGGCGCATGCTGAAACCTTTAGCAGTCTCATTCTTCGCGATCTCGAAACAGGGGTTGTCCAACAGTTGCCAGGCAGCTACACCAAGAATAGCAAGCCATGGATCGAAGCCAAACTACTGCGGGGACGGCAGTACGCAATGGAAAACACTGGGACAGATGGCGTAGGATTTACAGAGCTCCGGGCTGCAAGTTCTAACAATTTTAACAGCAAGTTTGGGTACCACGGTATCTCTGGGGGAAGCTGCCCTGATGGCGGCTTCTGGCTTGATAAGGACTGCCCTAAGTATCTCTTGTTGGGGCCCCGCCTCTTAAAGAATTTGGGGGGCACAGCCAGTTGTATCCCAAACTGCAACGCCTGCGAAGGGGATTGCGATTCCCACAGCGACTGTGCTGGTGAATTGCTGTGCTTCCAACGCGATTCTTCTTCCCAACTGGTGCCAGGGTGCTCTGCTGGCGGGGCGGGAGACATAAACACGCATGACTATTGCTACGACCCACAAGCCTGCGTTTACGGAAGGAAGTGCCAGAGCCAGATGTTCATTCAACAGAAGTAAGTTACCGTGGGGCTCTTCCAAACAGTTTAAGACGATAAGGAAGGACCCTGGGCCGAACGACAATCGGTGAAAGTCCGGCACAAGCGCAGGTAAACGAGTGCGCGGCCCAGGCTACTGGAACATGTGCATGCACATGTGCATGCACATGCAAGACGATACGAGAGCAGCGAGAATTGTCTGACGAGGTAAGCGGTGTAAAGCAGCGCAGTACGAGCACCACATGGCGGCGCGACGGAAAACGAATGGGACTCCTCTCTCTAACCCGCAGCTATAGCCCTTCACAGGCGTAAGTCCACGGCGCCAGAACTCAGTGGCAAAAACACCCACTGGCGACCCACCGTGGCAGCGGCGCGGTGTATCTTGCACGGGACGTATGCGAGCTGCGTGTCCGCCTAACTTTAAAGGCACAGGTCTCGCCACACTACCGTGATTGTATGCATGTGTCGGGAGATGTAATTGATGTGTTATGGGTTTAATTAATTATAAATGTAAAAAGTAAGAAATGACATGCAGTGATGCAGAAAGAGACACATGTGCGCCTGTTCCCTGTTGATACCCCACCTCTCGCACACCCTCAGCTTGGCCGCGCCCACGCACGAACCACGTACCGAGATGCGAGGGTCGCCCCCGCTTGCCCCACCACTTTGTGTGTGTGGAGACGTTTACCTTACCTTACCTTACCTAGCCACGTACCTCGCGGTCTTCACCGCGCCGCCCGTGAGGAAGCCCTTGACGGTCTGCAGCTTTCTTGAGCGCTCGACACGAGCAGGGCCAGACACTTTCTCCATCGACCGCGCTCACAGCTCAAAGACAAAGTACAGGAGCCGCGACACGCTCACAGCTCAGAGTACACCGCGCAGTGGTGAATCGGGACTGCTCTTCTGTCCTTTTGATCTCCGAGTAGAGGGTTTTGGCGGCTACGGCGACGTGGAGGGAGGCGACGGCGAGGGCGAGGCGGACGGCGGCGGCGGCGAGGGCGAGGCGGACGGCGGCGGCGGCGACGGCGAGGCGGAAGGAGGTGGCGGCTACGGCGAGGCGGAGGGAGGCGGCGGCGACGGCGAGGCGGAGGGAGGCGGCGGCGACGGCGAGGCGGAGGGAGGCGGCGGCGACGGAGAGGCGGTGGGCGGCGGCGGCGACGGTGAGGCGGTGGGCGGCGGCGAAGGCGGGGGCGGGATCGGCGGGGGCGGGATCGGCGGAGGCGGGCTGGGCGGCGGCGGTGAGGATGGCGGCGGCGAGGGGGGTGGTGGGGACGGCGCGGGCGGCGGCGACAGCGGCGAGTCGGCGGGGTCGCGCGAGATGTCGCACGACCAGCCGGTGGCCCGACTCGTACATGCGCGAGCGGCTGCCGTCGTTGACGGCGAACAGCTCGAGGTGCAGCAGCACCCAGCCGAGCGCGACGGCGCTGCTGCCATCGACGAGGCGGGCGACGGCCATCTGAAGCTGCGTGCTGGAAGAGAGGAGGTACTGGTTACCCACCTGGCTCGCGATGATCTCCCCCGGCGTTGGAGAAGAAGTTATGGGGGTCGCAACCACCAAGCTGCCGCAGCCAGTCGTCGTCCGTCTCGGCGGAAGCATAGATGGCAGAGTAGAGAGGGCTCATCCAAGAGTCAGGGAGGATGACGCAGTAGAACTGATGCACGGTGAGCAGGAGGTCGCCCCTGACGGAGCGGGTAGAAAGCGGGCAATGCAGTATGAAGGCATCCTCGGAGCCGTCACCCACGTTCAGCTGGAACACGTCGTCGCTGCTGTGGTCGCTCGTGCTGCAGCGGAAGGCGTTGCGGACGTTCATCGTGATGAACGGCGCCTGGAACAGCATGCCCTCTGAGCGAAGTCGGTGCGGAGGTCCGTCATAGAACGCGCGCGTGAGGTCCACCGTCAGGTCGCTCAGCCAATTCGCATCTCCGACGAAAACGCGATGCGCCTCGAAGAGCTTGGCGCGCGGCGCAGAGTCAACAAACGCGCGGCTCGGATTGCCATCGACGAGCAGCAGCAGCCAGCCACGCAAGCAGTGAGAGAGCACCACTGCTCTGCCGTGCGGCGCGAGGCGGTGCGGCGTGATGCGGCGGCTGCCGAGCGCGCCGCCGCCGCCGCCAGTCGGGCGGCAGCACCGCCTAAATGGTCACACAGCCGCAGCCGCCGCCGCCGCCGCCGCAGCCGGCGCAATCTTTGAGTGCGAGTGTCGACAGCCAGCGACACGAGCTCTGGCGGCGGCAGCTTGAGGCGACCGCCGCGGTGCTGCGAGCGCAGAGGCGCCTGCGCACAGAAGGCAGGAACGAGACGGGAGGGAGGGGCGCGGCGGCGACGGCCTCGTGCACGGCCGAGCCTTCGCAGGCCACCGCACCACCCACGGGACTAAACCCACACTGGATTCGACCACTCTGGAGGTATGGTAGGCCGCGCGGTCCTACAGGCTCGCTCGCTCCCTGTCGGAATCGGGAGGGAGGCATCGGGAGGAGGGCCCCCTTGAGCTTCGGCCATTTCGTCCGGTTGCGCGCCGGCGCGGCGGTGCGGCTGCGCTCGTGCATGGACGCATGGAGGGTGTTGCTTCACGTTGCGCGCTCGGTGGAGGCGACACGCGGCGCAGGCAGGACGGTGCGCGGCGTCCCACCGCACCCCCCTCGCCGTCTCCCAAACAATCGGCCCAGCCCCACCACCACTAGCACTACCCCCGCGCACACACACCCTCCTGCGCGAATCTCGACACTCGCGCGCACCGGTCTCGCCCAGGCTCGCGCTGTTGATCGACAGACGCTCCCGTTGCAGCCTCGGCGAGCTGCGACGCACCTGGCATCTCTCTCCCCCACATAACCGAGCGTGCTCAAGAATATTGACCTGGTCAGAGAGTTGCCCCCGACGGATCGTCGTTTTTAAAAGCACCACACCGGCACCGCAGGAGGTGTGAATTGCACGAAGGAGGGTCTGCGTTTTAGTTCCCCTTAGCGGTTCGTGGTGGGCACCTACATGCCGACCGTCTCTAGCAGGCGAGGCCGGAAGGGCCTCACCTCCCCTCGTTTCCGAGCACAAGGATCGGCTCCTCGCGGTCGTCGGAGACATGAACGTGGCGCCGTCCGAGCTGGACTGCTCGACCCCTTGGCGCAAGTTCTTTCTGGACGGGGAGGACGGCAAGGGCGACTGGGAGAAGCGCGCGGTGCAGCTCGCGGTGCGCACTGCAAGCTCCTCAAGGATGGCGGCCTCGTCGATGCATGGCGCTACCACAACCCGCGCAGGAAGGAATTCACCAGCTTTCAGGACCAAGGCTGGCACTTGTCCCCTGACACAGTTATTGTTTATGGTGTTATGGCTCTCGGGGCATAGCGGGCCCATAACAGCCATAACACCCATAACATGTTATGGGCTGCTATGAGAGAGCCGTCCCGGATCCACGGTGTTATGGCCCGAGAGGCCACACCGAACTGCTCGCCGCTGGAATTTTCGCTTCGCGCGCTGCCGCGCGCGAGGTTCGGCATCGACCGCCAAATATTTTCTCTTTTGCCCTTAAGTTAAATTCAATAACATCAACCTGCCTCCTGACTGAGGCTGAGCGATGGCTTCAGATTTCTCAATCAAGACCCCCCTCCCCCTCCCCCCCCCCTTCACGCAATTTTGCTTCCCGTTTCTAACTCGTACTCTCTGCAGCTCTGCCGCTCCCCTCCGTTTTAACATGTACCTTAAGGTCTGTCTTTCCCGCAATTTAACTCACGTCCTTTTTCTCTGAGCCCTGGCCTCGATCGACACCCTCGACACCGGGCCTCGACACCTTGACACCAGGGCTCAGCTTTTTCTTTCCTTTTTTCGCTTCATGTCTCGAGGTTTCTAACAAGTGGAAGCTGGCTGCTCCCGCTTTTTAGTAGTTAAAGCTCCGTGCCAGTCGTGCGAGCGAGTAGTTGTAAAACTCTTCCTCATCCGGATGACTCATCGCGCGATCGATGGATGGATGTTGCTGCTTTCCGCGTTGATGGACCACGCCTCTCGGATATCAGAGCACAGCGAGTCGTACGTGTGCTCGTCCTCCGCCAACACAGGCAGCACATAGTTGAAGCCGGGAACCCTCTTGAAGTCGGAGACGCGCAGGTCAACCGACGAGGGCTTCTGGCTCATGAACATCCTCATCCGGTAGGCCATGGTTGGCTGGTAGTAGCTACGCGGCGCGGGGCGGGCGCTCCAAAAAGAAGAATTTACCCTACGCCGGGTTAATCGCGGCGTCCAAAAGAAAAATCCGTGACACATAACAGCTGTTATGAGGTTGTTATGCTGGCTGTCATAACAACCATTGGGATGTGTTATGAGTGTTATGAGGTGTTATGAGTTGTTATGAGGTGTTATGGTAGGGTGGGCATAACAGCCATTAACAGCGATGGAGGTGTTATGAGGTGTTATGAGGTGTTATGGGGTGTTATGAGCAGCCAGCCATAACAGCCATAACACCTGTTATGGGCTTATGGCCGCTCCCATAACCTTGTCTGGGGACAATGGCACAAGCCGGGGAAAAAATGGCACGCGCGCGTCGATCTCGTCCTCGTGCCCGAGCGGCAGGTGGCCGATGTCCGCCCAATCATATACTCAAAGATAATAGCGCACGCCGCAGGCCGCCAGAGCGACCATGTGCCGGTGGGATTGGTTGCAACTCGCGCTGCCTCCGGGCTAGTCGCGTAGAGCGTGCTTGTAACGTACGGTCCCTGTGCTCGAGGCTCGCTGGTTGTGGGTGTGGGGCTCTTACATTTTTTCAGAGGGTTCTACGGTACTTCATGCCGCCGCCTGCCCCCCATCCCCCCAAGACCAACACGCGCTGAGCTCGTGTGATCATGCACACGCTCAGTCGCGCGCGCCCACGGAAACAGGCTTCCGGAGGTGTCGGGTGAGTATGTTAGAGCACGCGCGTAGTCACGGCAGGCAGTACTCAGGCGGCGGCTGGTCCGGTTCGAGGCGGCACCAGTACACCGAGTAGTGCTCGTCGACGATCTCGTTGAGCGGAAGCATCAGGCGCGACCGCTCCAGCCCCAGCGGCGCGTCGGCCGGCGGCACCGCCCAATACGCCACCGCAGGCAACTCGGCGTGCGGCGGGGCGAGCGAGACGTCGAGTGGCGTTGCGCCGGCGGAGGCGGAGGCGAGGGTGAGGCGCCACGCGCAGGAGGGGACAGCGCCGCGGTGGAGCAGAGGCGGCTGGCCGCGGCAGCCGCCGGCGAGAGGCTCTACGGCGAGGAAGGAGCCGGCCGTCGACGCGCTCTCGAGCCGCAGCCGGCCGTCAGCTTGCCGGCGGCCGTGCCAGACCTATTTGGGGAATGCACCGAGGTCAGGGCGGGGGAGATGGTCTCGCGCCGAGCCTCGGAGCACTGCGCGAATACACGGGCTACGAATGCAGCGAGTGCAGCGGAGTACGGCCGCATGCGGCGGGAGACGTGTCCTCTCGAGCGCCAGTTGGAATGGATGAGCTCGTACTCCGCTTCTAGGCACGAGATCTGTGGAGATACGGGGAGATATGGGGAGATATGGGGGGATACTCCGCTTCTAGGGCGCCAGACGCGCGATGCGCCGCCGGCGCGGCCGCGAAGGGGCGCCAGCCTCACGCCGGAGGAGGATGCGGCGAGCACCTCGCCGGGGGCGTCGAGCGCCTGTTCACAGCTGGAGGTGTGAATAGGCGCTGTCCACAGCGAGCACCTCGCCGGGGGCGTCGAGCGCCTCCAAGAAGAAGCCGCGCTCGAGCACCGCCTGCTCGTCCGTCTCGGCCTCGTACACGGACGCCTGGGTCAAGTACACATCTCTGCACACTCACACACAGTGGGGCAAGGGCCGGGCAACCCTCGCATCTCCACCCCGACGGCATTGGACGCGCAAGGCCCAGCACGTGGGTGAACGGTGTGCGTGCGTGCGTGCGTGCGTTTGCGTGCGTGCGTGCGTGCGTGCGTGCGTGCGTGTGCGTGTTTGCGTGCGTTGGTGTCTGTCTGTCTGTCGGAGTGCTTGTGCGCGCGCCTGCTCGTCCAGCGCCGCCCCTGCCGCGGGCCGCAACCGCCTAGTCTCGGGTAATCTCGGGTAATCTTGGGCACTCTCGGGCGCCGCCCCTGTCGCGGGCCGCAGCCGCCATGTCGCCGCCATCGCCGCGTCGGTGCCGCCGCGCCGGCGGCCAGGCACGGTGGGCGGCCTCGCCTGTTCACACGCAGAGGCTGTGAAGAGGCGCCGTTCACACAGAGGCCAGGCACCCTACTTCGGCCGCGCCGCCAGGACGACGGCGCCGCCAGTGCCGTTGTGCATGACGTGGAGCTCGCCTAGTCTCGAGCGGTCTCGGCTGATCTCGGCTGATCTCGGGTAATCTCGCGCCGCTGCGCATGGCGTGGAGAGCTCGCCGAGCGGCGAGAAGGGAGGCGCCCCCTCCGCCGTGCAGCCCGGGAGCTGCTCGCACGCCGCCGCCGACGCCGCCTCGCCGAGCGTGTAGTGTGGCTCGGGCCGTCGCCGGAGGGTGTCGAGCCGCTCCTCGATCGGCGTCGCCCTCCCGACGCACCACTTTGGCGGCGACGCGGCGAAGGAGCGGAGGCCTACAAGGTGCATGCGCCAACCTCAGGGCGGGAGGACGGTGTAGTGGTGCAGTGTACTCAGAGCACCATGCGAACACACGGGGCTACGGAGACGGCGACTGCTGCGGAGTGGCGTGTCCTCTCGAGCGCTAGTTGGGATGCGAGAGTGCGCAGTCGGCGTCTAGGCGTCGGAGGCCGTCCTCTCCGACGACCCAGACCGAGGCCCACCGGCTGACAAGGCAGCCGGCAGGGGGAGGGGCGAGGCCGCCGCCGGCAGCCGCGCGAGGCGGCGCGTGGGCGACCAGCGCGCGCAGCTGCGCGCGCACCGGCGGCGGCACGCTGCGCAGGGTCGCGTTGGCGTGCATGCGCCGGTCGGCGTAGGTCAGGCCGGCGAGGACGAGCGGGCCGAGCAGCGCCGCCTGGAGCGGCGCGAAGCTCGCGCGCTCGTCCTTGAGCCTCTCCCAGGAGAGGGCCATGCTGAGCGACAGCCGGACCCGGCCGAGCGCGCCCGCATGGCCGCGCGCCGCGAGCCGCCTCGCAAAGGCGGTGCCGCGCTGCGGGTCGAAGTCGACCGCCTGGAGCGCTAGTGCGAGATCACAATCTCGCTCACGAGATGAGGCGGGGGAGGGAGGGGGAGGGAGGGAGGGAGGGAGGGAGAGAGAGAGAGAGAGAGAGAGAGAGAGAGAGAGAGAGAGAGAGAGAGAGAGAGAGAGAGAGAGAGAGAGAGAGAGAGAGAGAGAGGGGCGGGGGGGGGAGGGAGAGAGAGAGAGAGCGCGCGAGAGAGCGAGAGAGCGAGAGAGCGCGCGCGAGAGAGAGAGAGAGAGAGAGAGAGAGAGAGAGAGAGAGAGAGAGAGAGCGTGCCTCAGCGTGTGCGTCACCCCCGCGCTACCGGCGCGGCCGCCCCAGCCCATCAGCCGGCGCGAGACGCGCATCGAGTTGTGCAGCACGCAGCTCTCGGCGTGGTCGTGCGCCCAGTAGTTGTCCGCATGCCTGCTCACAGCTGGAGGTGTGAATAGACGCCGTTCACAGCCTCGTGGTCTGCGCCCTGTAGCTGTCCGCGCGCCTGCTCACAGCTGGAGGTGTGAATAGACGCCGTTCACAGCCTCGTGGTCTGCGCCCCGTAGCTGTCCGCGTGCCTGCTCACAGCTGGAGGTGTGAATAGACGCCGTTCACAGCCTCGTGGTCGTGCGCCCAGTAGCTGTCCGCGTGCCGATGCCGCACTACGTCCCCCAACCGCCTCGCCGGCATCCACACCTCGCCCGCAGTCGAGCCGCCTGTTCACAGCTGGCGGTGTGAATGGGCGCTGCTCACGGCATGCACACCTCCCGCCGCAGTCGAGCCGCCTGTTCACAGCTGGCGGTGTGGATGGGCGCTGCTCACGGCATGCACACCTCCCGCCGCAGTCGAGCCGCCTGTTCACAGCTGGCGGTGTGAATGGGCGCTGCTCACGGCGTGCACACCTCCCGCCGCAGTCGAGCCGCCTGTTCACAGCTGGCGGTGTGAATGGGCGCTGCTCACGGCATGCACACCTCCCGCCGCAGTCGAGCCGCCTGTTCACAGCTGGCGGTGTGAATGGGCGCTGCTCACGGCATGCACACCTCCCGCCGCAGTCAAGCCGCCTGTTCACAGCTGGCGGTGTGAATGGGCGCTGCTCACGGCATCCACACCTCGCCCGCAATCGAGCCGCCTGTTCACAGCTGGCGGTGTGAATGGGCGCTGCTCACGGCATGCACACCTCCCGCCGCAGTCAAGCCGCCTGTTCACAGCTGGCGGTGTGAATGGGCGCTGCTCACGGCATGCACACCTCCCGCCGCAGTCGAGCCGCCTGTTCACAGCTGGCGGTGTGAATGGGCGCTGCTCACGGCATGCACACCTCCCGCCGCAGTCGAGCCGCCTGTTCACAGCTGGCGGTGTGAATGGGCGCTGCTCACGGCATGCACACCTCCCGCCGCAGTCGAGCCGCCTGTTCACACCTGGCGGTGTGAATGGGCGCTGCTCACGGCATGCACACCTCCCGCCGCAGTCAAGCCGCCTGTTCACAGCTGGCGGTGTGAATGGGCGCTGCTCACGGCATGCACACCTCCCGCCGCAGTCGAGCCGCCTGTTCACAGCTGGCGGTGTGAATGGGCGCTGCTCACGGCATGCACACCTCCCGCCGCAGTCGAGCCGCCTGTTCACAGCTGGCGGTGTGAATGGGCGCTGCTCACGGCATGCACACCTCCCGCCGCAATCGAGCCGCCTGTTCACAGCTGGCGGTGTGAATGGGCGCTGCTCACGGCATGCACACCTCCCGCCGCAGTCGAGCCGCCTGTTCACAGCTGGCGGTGTGAATGGGCGCTGTTCACGGCATGCACACCTCCCGCCGCAATCAAGCCGCCTGTTCACAGCTGGCGGTGTGAATGGGCGCTGCTCACGGCATGCACACCTCCCGCCGCAGTCGAGCCGCCTGTTCACAGCTGGCGGTGTGAATGGGCGCTGCTCACGGCATGCACACCTCCCGCCGCAGTCGAGCCGCCTGTTCACAGCTGGCGCTGTGAATAGGCGCTGTTCACGGCATGCACACCTCCCGCCGCAGTCGAGCCGCCTGTTCACAGCTGGCGGTGTGAATGGGCGCTGCTCACGGCATGCACACCTCCCGCCGCAGTCGAGCCGCCTGTTCACAGCTGGCGGTGTGAATGGGCGCTGCTCACGGCATGCACACCTCGCGCCGCAGTCGAGCCGCCTGTTCACAGCTGGCGGTGTGAATGGGCGCTGCTCAAGGCATGCACACCTCCCGCCGCAGTCGAGCCGCCTGTTCACAGCTGGCGGTGTGAATGGGCGCTGCTCACGGCATGCACACCTCCCGCCGCAGTCGAGCCGCCTGTTCACAGCTGGCGGTGTGAATGGGCGCTGCTCACGGCATGCACACCTCCCGCCGCAGTCGAGCCGCCGTGCGCAAAAGTGTGGCCGGCGTCGAGCTCGGAGAAGAAGGCTTCGGCCGCGCCGCGAAGGAGCGGGTCGCCCGACGCCTGAGCGAGAGCGTGTCATGTGCTGAGGGGACTCGTACCGAGCGGCAACGCTGGAGGCGGGGGGCGCGGGGCTGGGGAGGGGAGGGGTTCGAGGAGGCGCCAGGCAGGGGCTTTGGGCTTGGGAGAGGACTCCAGGAGATGTCGCCTCGTACCGCCCCATCGCACCGAGCAGCATGGGCAGGTGCGCATTCGCGTGCAGCTTCTCGATCGCTCCCGCGGCGGCGGCGGCGGCGGCGGCGCGCAGCGCGTCGCGCTTCTCCGCGCTCGCCATCGGCGCCGACGCCGCGTCGTCGAGCGGCGCGGCGAGGGAGGCTGCGAGGGCGAGCGGGCGAATGAAGCACGGCCGCTCGAATCTGGCCGCGAGGCTTGCCCACGCCGGATCGCCCGAGAGAAGAGAGAGGTCCCCCAGCGCCTCCGACATGCCGCCAACCTCTTGGTTGATGAAGTCCTCCCACCGCTCACGGCCGCCCGCAGACCACATAGCGTCGACACGCCTAATCTCGAGAAATATCGAGTACTCTCGGGTACTCTCGGGTACTCTCGGGCAGACCACATCGCATCGGCACGCCCGCGAAGGTGCGACGCCAGCTGCAGCGCGACGGTCAAGGCCGCAGCGCCCGACGTTGTGCTCGGCCACAGCTGCCGGTGCGCAATCAGACCGGCAAGGAGCTTGTGCATAACGTAGTAGGGCACCCATGGCCCGGGCGGCTTGCCCGCCTGTTCACAGCTGGCGGTGTGAATAGGCGCTGTTCACAGCATGACGTAGTAGGGCACCCAAGGCCCGGGCGGCTTGCCCGCCTCCGTGAGAGCAAACTCGGCCTCGGGGAAGGCGGAGACGTAGCCTCCGGCGCCGAGCTTGGCTTGACACTCGGCGAGCCCTCGCACGACCGCGCCACAGCGGGCGAGCAGCGCCGCTCGCTCCGTCTCGTCCCCCGTCGATGCAGCGGCGGCGGAGGCGGCGTGCAAGTAATGGCCTACGAACTCGCCACGTAGGCCCGAGCCGCCGCTCTCCCAGCCGCCGTACGCCGGCGCCGCTTTGAGCGGAGGCAGGCCCGCCGTCACGCGGAAGAAGTGGAGCAGCCGGTCGACGTCGAGCGCGAGGAGCCAGGCAGTGTTGACGCGGCTGGCGTGCTCAAAGTGGGAGCCCGGGAGCAGACGCACGTCGTGGAGTGACACGCTGCGAAGCGCCAGCCGCGCCTCCCCTCTCTTGTCGCCTCCGCCGCCGCCACCGCCGCCGCCGCCGCCGCCGCCGCCGCCGGCGATGCTGCCCACACTTTGGCTGAAGGAGGTTGAGGTGGCGGCACGAACCGGCCTGCGCTGCACCTTGGCCTTGCCGCCGTACGGGAAGTACATCGGGCCCGCGTAGCTCGAGCACTCCATGGCCGACTCCTCGACCCGCGGCACGGTCGCCTAGGCGAGTAGCAGGGTGTCACAGCAGCCTTTCACGCGCAGGAGGGTTGTCGCTTTGTGCCATGCGCACGTGTGGCGCAGCGACTGCGAACGTGGCCGCGAAGAGTTCGGCGGTGCGTCCGACGCGCTGGCTCGCCTCGAAGGCGGAAGGGAAGTGTCGCGCGTGCCGCTTCCACTCCGAGTTCCACGCAGCCGTCATGTTCCGCCGGTTGCCAGCTGAAGAGTGCAGCGCGAGCAGGTACGAGTGAGACCAGTCACTGAACCAGTAAATGCGAAGGACGGTACAGATGAGGACTGCGACAGCGATGAGGACCGCTGGAGAGCTCGGGTTCAGGCGCGAGCGGCGCTTCCCTGAGGCTCTTGCCTGGGAGTTGGTTCGCGGGCTGCTCATCGACCTGTACCGTCACAGCCTCAGGCGCGCCGGTTTCTTTTTTCTCTATTGTTTCTTTTTAGAGAGGCAGAGCCAGTGAACTCCGCAACTCGTCCACGTCGACAGACCTCTTGAAGTGATGCATATCCGTCTCAGCAAGGTCGGCTGCGCCCAAGCGAGCGAATGCCTTCGCGCGCCGGAGGACGGCCCTCACCGTCATCTCCTTGTCACCCGCACGACCCTTCATGCTAGAGACGTACATGACATTTCAAGCTTGAGCCTGGATGTCTCAGCCAGTAGAGCTGTGCAGCACTTCTTTTGGAGCTTTTAGCTGAGCATTTAGCATCTCCTAGGACGCTTCGACCACCGCCCGGCACCGCCCCTCGGAGGCCGGCTAGATGCTCGCCGAGGGCCCAAAACCGGCCACTCAAAGCTCCAAAACGTACCTGAGAATCTGCTCCAGACTTCTACCACATCACCACAGGACCCATCCCAGTAAAATAACTTGATTTGGGGCAATGCCGTCTGTGGAAAAAGAAACTGTGACCTCCGGACACTATAGCCCACCAGCCTAGTCGAGGTTATATCTTTAGAAAACACAGTCCGACTTCCCCGGTCGCCTAGCCTCTGCGCTGTCTGGCGAACGCCTGTAGAGGGTGTGGATGCTGAGTTGACGGAAATCGGAGGACGCGACCCACTTCGCCACAGACCGCGGTCCCGCGCCTCGCCACTATGACGGCGGCACGGCCGCAGCTCGTGTGCGTGCCGCCGTCTTTGTCCGGAGTGAATACCACAACGCGCTCGTCGGTGACGGTGTCCTCCAACCTGCGCCGCGCTCGGCGAACCTCGACAGCGCTTTCGGTGGCATGCAGCTCTTTGCGACAGAAGCCTGGAGAGCAGCTCCTCTGCTGCTCACACGCTCTGCGCAGTTGGCACAGCCTACTGTGCGGCTGCCACAGCTGTGACAGCGATGGGCTCGCCCTCACTGGCCCTCAGTCACTTGTGCTGCGGCTTGTGTGCGCGACACTGCTCGGCGACTGCCGGCACACTGTGAGACCATGGGTGTGAGGTCAAACCACGCTCTACCAGCGCTTGGTCACATTGGCCCCGAGGTCAGATCCATCTACTCTGTTGATGACAAGACTTGTCTACCGGCTGGAGCCGAGCAGGAGGGCCCGGCGCACAACCCCCTGGTCAACTCACCCTCCACACCCCGTATGCCATGCGCGCGGACCACGCTTGCGTGGATACGTGGCTCTGAAGCAGGCTGACCCGTGCGGCGTGGCCGTGGGACCCGCGCGGCACGGGGAAGCTTCACGGGTCTGTCACGGGTCGAATCGTCAAATATTGAGCAGCGGAGGTGTGCCGAGGGGGGCCGGGAAGCGGTAAGCCCGTCGTCGCCCGGCGCTCTTGCAGCACTACATGACGATGGCGCCCTCTTTTCCGCAGCCTCCGCAAGGCGCGCGATATGTACACACTAGACAATCATTAGAACAAAGAAAAGAGGAGACGTGGCGGGTGCACACTTCCTACACAAACATATGATGATCACCCCACAGTATTATATTTGTTTCTGATCGATCCGTCCAGACGTCAACCCAGGTTATACGCCCTGGCCAAAGCAATTTTAGGTTTCGTGGCTGATGGCGGCTTGGATGGCTAGCCAACCCGCCTGGAGCGACGTGAACGCCGTTTGGCCCCCCGCTGACGGCGCGAGGTGGAGGGTGCACAGCCGGAGGTGCGGCCGAGGTGCAGTCTCGCCTGCGCAGGACAGGAGAGAAGGGACCGAAAGCGATAAGCTACAGCCTGTTCGCTGTCCAAACCAAGACGCACCACACAGAGCCGTACACACCCCATAAATATGGTCGTTGGCTCTCCTTTCTTTACCATACTAGTACATCATCTTACAGCCTGCTGCGTCTACCTCCCACATCTTTGGTGTGTGTTTGTGCGGGGCGGACCGGCACACCCCAATTAATCGAGCTTGGCGTGAGCTGAGGCTGCCGGGACACGCCGATCGAGCCGAGAGCGGGTGATGCCAAGAGAGGAGAAGAGGTCCTCACGAGAGGTCCTCACCAGACAGAGGTCCTCAGCCTACGTAAGAGGTCCTCACCGAGAGGTCCTCACGCAAGGAGCGAGAGCGGCCTCCCCGCTCCAAGGAAAGAAAGTCGACAGACACACAGACGCGATGGCAGGCCAGGGGCGGCACTCCGTCCGACGAACTGCCATCCCAAGCAGGCGGCAAGATGGGTTGATGCAAGTCGCAAAGAGATTCATGTGTAAGTTTGGCAACTAGTAAGTGTGTAGTTAGTGCTGGGAAGCCACGACAAACTGCCATCCCAAGTATGGCCGCAAGATGGGTTATACGAGACTTATCTCAATATGTGTAAGTTTGTGCTACCATGTGTGCGTGCAGCGCCACAACCGTTGTTGTGGTCTCGCCCCCCTTGTTATTATGTACGCACAACAAGTTCTCTCCAAGCGGCACTCCAAGCGGCAGCGGCACGAGGACGAGTCGAGCTGGTCGAGCGGTCGTTCGTGGTCGAGGTCGTGGTTGTAATTCTAAAGCTGCTGACTGCGTATACGTCGGCGTCCATGGAACGTCCACTCTGATGCGGGCTTGATTTCCACTCTATACGAGGTCACTCTATAACGGGGCACGGGGTCTACACTCTATGCACCGTTGCGCCTATGCAGCGCGGCTCTTGAGTATCCGGTGCCAGCGTCGCTAATATATGGACAACAGTATTCGAGGAGCGCTGACTCGCACGGTGATCAACCGCAGCGCCGCGTCACTTGCAGAGCTCGACCAGCTGAGTGACCATCGAGGCGAAGGCAGGGTAGCCGTCCAAAAGCTGCATGACGGAGGGCGGCGAGGGAACGGGAGGCGGCGGCTGGTCGGTGCAAGGAATGCCATAATGGTCGCAGGTGTCGAGGCAATGGGCTTTGTACGTGCACCACCCCTGGCCCGAGAGGTCGCACCCGCACGCCGGGTGCGCGCACACAGGGCAGGAGGACGGAAGGGGGGGAGGCTCGGGATATGGCTCCGAGACAATGCTCTCCGCGCCCGTGTCCTTGGTGGTGGCTCCGTTGAAGGCGCGGACCACATCGTCGAGGGATGGGATCCCTGGCGTCATGTCGCCCTCGGCGAGGGCTGCCTTGTCGTCGAGGACCACGTCGTCGAGACGGCGCGTGGTCGGCAGCGCCGAGACGGCGGCAAAGAAGAGGAAGATGAGGAGGACCGCCGTGGACCTGAGGGTGGCCGGGAGCGTGGTGGTGAGTGATCGCGCCGTGCGGCCAGAATCGCGAGGAGCAGGTGCGCACCGCATACGAGTCGGTGGTGGTTGTCGGGGAGCGCTGCGACGCGAGAGCCTTGCTCCACGACAAGACTCTCCTGTCACGCACGCGTCCTCTCCTTGATCCACCACGTATGAATTCTCTTTCCGAGTACCTAAATGCACAAACGAGAAAACGAAAGAAACAGAACTCGATTTTTACTAAGTGGCCACTCTCCCACGGCGTGTTTGGAGAGAAAGATTGTGTGTATCGCGCGCGCCATGATCCAAAAGCGACGAATTCTTTTTCCGAGTCCCGGATGTGAACCATCTGATCGCCTAGGTTATGAACAATCTGATCTCGCACGCAAAACACGCGATCAACCCGAACGCACCATCCATCCTATCAGTGAACTTTAACTCTCAGCCTGCTGCGTCTACCTCCCACATCCTTTATTTGGTGTGTGTGTGCGCGGGGCGGCGCGCATTCGACCGATGAGACAGCACACCCCAATTAAAATCTAACTTTGGCGTGAGCTTAGGCTGCAGGAACTCGGTCGCCGATCGAGCCGAGCGGGTGATGCCAAGAGAGAGGGGAGAAGAGGTCCTCACGAGAGGTCCTCACGGGACAGAGGTCCTCAGCGCACGCGAGAGGTCCTCACCGAGAGGTCCTCACGGCAGGAGCGAGAGTCAGCCTCCCCGCTCCAAAGGAAAAAGAAGTCGACAGACACACAGACGCGATGGCAGGCCAGCTTTTGCCTGGGAGCTCGCATGGGAGGCGGCCGGGGGCGGCACTCCGACTAACTGCCATCGTCCCAAGTAAGTAGGCGGCAAGATTGGGTTAACGCAAGTCGCAAAGAGATTTATGTGAAAGTTTGGCAACTACGTAAGTGTGTAGTGCAACGAAAGCGCATCACGTCGTCGGGTAGCTACGCTGTCTAGTTTTTCGGGGCTAAAATTCTTTATTTCCCGAGTTGTGGTGGGCGGGCGCGTGGCGGTGGGCTAACTCGACAGGCCGCTGCGCGGCGCCCTATCTCGCCACCACTGACGATCGGTGGGAGGTGCCTGGCCTGCGCCAGGCATACGTCGCGCATGGCATGTGCGGCGGGCTCTGCCAAGGACGGGGCTGCTGCGAGGCGCGGGTCTAGGGTACCATACTTGACCCCCCGTGTGTGAGTGAGTGTGTGTCACACACACACACACACACACACACACACACACACACACACACACACACGCACCGCTGTTATTTCTTTTTGAGCTTAGCCTTCGATGTTATGAAAACAAACGCAAGGCGGACATGGCACATCGCTCTCCCTCTCGGGCTCACAGACATCCCGCACACCCGCCGCACACCCGGAGCAGGCGGACATCGCTGCCAGGGAGGGGGGCGCGCATCTCTGCACGCCCCACCCCCCCCCTAGCATGTGGTGAAGCCTCTGGGGGGGTCGGGACCCCCCCCCTAGCATGTGGGGAAGCCTCTGGGGGGATCGGGACCCCCCCCCTAGCATGTGGGGAAGCCTCTGGGGGGATCGGGACCCCCCCCCTAGCATGTGGTGGGCACCCCCCAGCAGTTCGTGGGCTAGGAATAGCCGCCAGAGAGCCGATTTTGCCCCCAAAGTTGTGAAATCGTGGCTGAAAGTCCAATATCTGGGAGAAACTGGCCAGCAAGGCTCATGTAGCTCCAGAGGATGATTTCCCCCTCAAAAATGCTGCGAAATGAGGTGTAAAATCAAGGGCCCGGAGGGTCTCTGACCACGAGTCTCTGGGGGGTCCTCGGCCATGACCCCCCCCTAGCATGTGGTGAAGGTGCTGCGGGGGGTCCGACCCCCCCCCTAGCATGTGGTGAAGCCTCTGGGGGGGGTCGGACCCCCCGCAGCACCTTCACCACATGCTAGGGGGGGGTCATGGCCGAGGACCCCCCAGAGACTCGTGGTCAGAGACCCTCCGGGCCCTTGATTTTACACCTCATTTCGCAGCATTTTTGAGGGGGAAATCATCCTCTGGAGCTACATGAGCCTTGCTGGCCAGTTTCTCCCAGATATTGGACTTTCAGCCACGATTTCACAACTTTGGGGGCAAAATCGGCTCTCTGGCGGCTATTCCTAGCCCACGAACTGCTGGGGGGTGCCTACCACATGCTAGGGGGGGGGTCCCGAT